GGTGGAAAGATGAATCCTAAAATGTAGGCGGTTTGGATGGGATTAGGGTCAATAATATATATTTATTATATGGCTGAGATAAATGCTGCACGCTGATTACTGGTTTGGAAAAAGTCATCTTGCCTGCTCAGAAATTCATCTTGCCCGCTCAAGAAATTGTAAAAACATTGTCCAAAAATTTTTTCTAAAAGAAGCTAGTGAACTTTATTTAATGCTGCATAGTGACAATGAGGAACACTCACCGAGTGAATTCTATTATCCTTATGAAATCTCGGATGAAACAAATGACCCAAATGACCTACACTACACAGTTGTAAGATGTTTACAGACTTTTGACTTCAAAAACGTTAGACAAACTGTTCAGAAAAGGTTTCCAACATTAATGTTCTTAAATTTTAATGGCTTTAGCTGACATTTTGTTGTATGTTTATCACAAAAACGTAAAAAAAAAAATTGTTGAAGATTGATTTTTTTCTTTGGAGTATTTTTATTAATTGTTTTGTTGTTATCAGCAACTCAGCAAGCGCACAGCCAGAAACCGCCAGCATATACGGCTGAAAACGGTTTTAGCAGTTTAAAGGTTTCCTGGTTTTTCTACAAAGTCAGAACAAACTGTGATCCAACAAAGTCATATAATAAATCCCATATTAACCTTGTTTGCTCGGTCTGTACTGGAAAGTATTGCCTTTGCAGCCTAGTCCCAGTTGTTCTGAAGCAAGTGCGAGAAAAAACGTGGATGTAGTATGAGACTGGGACCTAGGTGTGACGTCACTGCTAAAGGTGCTTCAGAACACCTAGCAGATTTCAGTATTTTTAATATGGCGGAAAATTTATATATACAAATAACCTTGTAAATACGACAATGTTCGTTGATCATGTTCGATGTCTACATAACCAAATTCAAACTGTATTAAAAATGTGCTCAATTAGAAGAAATTATATACAAATTTACATGTCAATGGTTGTATAATCGTTGATGTTATTTATATACTCGCAAGTTGTGACCAACACTAGACCATACCGGTATACACAACTACGCTTTTTACTTTTGACATTTTTAGGTAGCCGATGAGATTGGACTCGGCATAATTTAAGCTTCTATATAGCGTTTAATATGGCTTTATATTTCAGTAAACACAAGTCATATATTTAGCTTGTTGTTCCATTCTGAGCATATGGGAGCGAAATGTAGCCTATTTTATTGTTCCGACAGCATTAGAGCAAAACTAATGACTTCATTATAAATGCAAAGGAAATTTCCATAACATTTTCCATTTAGAAATGCTGTATGCTTGGTACCAGTCCAGGGACCACTTTTTTGAAATCAGGGACCATTTTACCGAAATCTGCTAGGCTCTCTTGCTGAAGCGTTCCACACAGCACACCCAGGCATAAAACTTTTAAGACTTATTTAAATATATCAAAGCAGCGAATAGAGAGAGAGAGCCTGGGACTAGGCTGTTGCCTTTGGTTTTTATTGCACACATACCTTGCTCCTTCGTAGCTTGGGCTGTACAAAAAACCTCAGGCAATACTTTCCTGTACAGACCTTGCAGTCGGTTAATAAGTCCTTAATATTAATTATACCAAGAGAAACTTTCCTGTACAGACCTTGCAGTCGGTTAATAAGTCCTTAATATTAATTATACCAAGAGAAATAATTATTATACTAAGAGAAATCAGTTTTAAAAATAAAATGTGGGGGTCACCGATGTCGTTTTCGAGTTAAATTACTTTAAAGTCAAAATATCTGCCATCTTGAAAGTCAGTTGCCATAGTAACGGCAGTTGCATAACTTTCAAAAATTCAAACTCTTTAGATGTTGTTTTATATAAGTAAGGTACTTTTTGTTTACCAACAAGTAATAATTGTCCAAAAATACGCATCTAAATCGTTAATTTTCCATTTTTAGTGCAGAGTTTCTTTGACACCGTGCACTATTGTGATGAGTGGCGAAAATTCACATCAGTCAGTCAGTGTAAACTTTCCGGGCGGGGAGAGGGGTATTGTTTGTATACAATTTATGTTCGTAGTGATTTATTCAAGACCCTTTTTGCTTCTGACTTATCTTGGATCGAAAAAGATAATGAAATTTTACTGTCATCGACATATAAATTCAGTGAAGATTCTGTTATTATGTATGGGAGGTAGTTTGTGTAGATAATAAAAAAAATTAGACCAATCAGGTTTCACCATTTCATCTACATAGTCTCCTGCTTGGATCAGTAAGCCTCGTTGTGTCACTTGCAAGCAAAAGCGTAAGTTCTCGCGGCAAAAATATTTGAAATTATATTGCAATGTTGGACATACTTCTCCGAGGATATGCCTCCTGTTTGATGCCAAAACGCTACTACACAACAACGCGCAGGAAATGGAAATCAACCATCGGTGAATGATCTTCGGCAACAATGCCTAGACAAAGGTGTGTCTGACCACAGCCGCCGAAGTATATTGGTTGGTTGCGAGATTGAAACAACGTGCTTCAACATCTTCGTTGAAGCTCAAACAAGTTGAACAAACAGCTCTCGAGATGACGTCTGTGCCATGTGAAAACCCGAGCGAAAGCCCTGTTCTAAACGACGCTCAGTTGGCCCGAATCCACAATCATCATGAGGACAGTCCAACAATCGGTTAACAGCATCACTACAAAACACTGGCAAGCCATGGCAAGTACAAGCCATGTGAATCTGCCTTTCGACTCATTCCTGTCCATCCTGACAACTACAAGCTTCTCGGCATGTACTGGGACAGGAAATATTATCATGACAAAGTTTTACCTTTCGATCTCCGAAGTGCTCCGTATCTTTTCAACCAACTTTCAGATGCTATTGAGTGGATCTTAAAAAATGAGTGCATGATTTCACCCGCACGTCATATTTTGGATGATTTTCTTATTATGGAGCCACCAGCCTGGGTGCCCCCACAGGATCACACTTGCCAACAAAGTCTAACTGCCATGATGCTTACATTTAAGAGCCTTAACATCCCAGTGGCACCAGGCAAAACACAAGGTCCAGCAACTGTATTAGAATTTATGGGTATTATCCTGGATACTGTTCGAATGGAAGCTCGTCCTCCTGGTGACAAAATTGAACGTCTCTGATTTGCCTTTGATATATTTAAAAAAGGCTGTCCTAAGGTACATACCTTGAAAGAACTTCAATCACTTATAGGTTCCCTTGACTTTGCATGCAAGGTTATTTCACCGGGTTGCCCTTACTTACAGAGAATGATTGAACTGACAAGAAATATAAAACAGCCCCACCACCACATAAAACCTAGTATAGGCTTTTTTAAGGATCTTGAGATGTGGAAACAGTTCATTGTTAACTAGAACAGTGCCAGTTTTTTCTTGTATTTTGCATGGGAAGACTCGGAATGCCTTGAACTCCATACTGATGCATCAGTGGTTTTGGGCTATGGGGGATTCTTCAGGGGGAAATGGTTTCAAGGTAAATGGGAAACCCCATCAGCAATTAGGACAGCCAGAAATTAGCATAGCCTGGCAAGAATTGTTTGCCATAGTGGTTGCATGTCACATATGGGGGGGGGGGATCTCTCCAAAACAAACACATAATCCTGAACTGTGACAATGAATCAGTTGTTAATATTGTTAATTCCAAGCGATCACGAATTCCCAGGGCAATGGATCTCCTCTGTCACCTCACACTGCTGACATTAAAATATAATATGTACATTAGGGCAAAACATACCAGGAAAATATAACAAAATTGCCAATTCCCTTTCTCATTTCCAGTTTCAAAGGTTTTGGCTCTTAGCACCTCAAGCAGATGCCATCTCTCAACAAATTCCAGTCCTTCTGTTGAAAATCTAAAGGCCAGCATTGAACATTATATTGATTTGTCTGTGGCCACCTTGACCAAACAGACTTACAGTGCTGGGGAAAAGCAATTTATCTCTTTTGTCAACTTATATCAGCCCCAAGAAGGAAAACATCTCTTACCAGCAAGTGAAGAAACACTCATGAAATTTACATGCAGCGGTTCATCATTTTCATATAAGAAATGGTTTTTCATTAGATTGTGAAAAAATGTTGTGCCTCCAATTGGTTCTTCACGGTCACAAGGAGATCAAGTACGAGTGCATCTCCCAATAACAATCCACCACTTAAAACTTTTCCATATGATGCTAGCATTACCTGTCACAACAAATTTTGACTCAATTATGTCTTGCACTGCCATAACATTGGCATTCTTTGGCTTCCTGTGGCTTGGAGCATTAACATGTAAATCAAAATTCAGTGATGATACTCACCTCATCCCAGAAGATGCTGTCTTCTCCAACGAAATCCAACCAACTGCTGCCATGTTTATATAAATAAAAGAATCCAAAACTGACCCCTTCTGGGTGGGGCACACAATAACCATTGGAGGAACAAACACACCTCTTTGTCCAGTGTTGGCTATGAAACAATATCTAGCCATAAGACTACCAAAATCAGGTCCTCTGTTTGTAAATGCTGTGGGTAAACCACTTACAAAACAGGCTCTAACACTAGAAACACAGAAACTTCTTGCTCAAGCTGGGTTCAATGCCTCATACTTTGCAGGTCATAGTTACAGAATTGGTGCTGTAACGAACTTACCTTCTTGGTTTATCAAAACTTTGGGTCACTGGTCTTCTGACTGTTATGAACGTTATATACAAAGTCCTTCATCAACACCATTGAGTGTCAACAAACTCCTTCATCAACACTATTGTTAAAGTCCAACATGGGGGAACCACGACCCCCTGAGGACATATAATTATATCATAATGCTGTAATAGTGAGAGGTGACACCATGGCCACAGTTTAAAGTATAATTGGAGCATTTCTCTGCAGCAACCCGTCTCCCACAACATTCTCTGTGTGTGTCTTAATTGTTTTAATGGTCTCTTAATATTCGCTTAATGAATTGGTGCTAATAGCCAGAGCAAAACTGGTTGTGATGAAATTTAGTTTTGCAACGCCATTCAGTTGTTGATTTGAGAGAGGAGCCCTAACTGGATATTGTGAATGCAGCCAAAGTTCCCCATGTATCGAACCCCATGGCACCTGTCTTGCCCATGTGCATCTTAAAAATCGGACATTTTCATCGTAAAAACGCCAATTCTGACCATGGGTAGGCACGTCCCAAATACTTTGTCTGCATTTCATGAGGGCAGGGGCCTCTTGCGGGTTTGTCTACGTGTAAACGCCAATAAAAATGAGAAATGCATGCTGCTAAAGCCCCATTGGAATGATCTTTTTAGGGTGCGAAAGTGCTTCAAGACAGTGCCGGATTAACCATATGGCAGAAACGGCATATGCCGCAGGCCTGCACTCTTCGAATTGCTCTTTCAAATTTTTGTTCCCTGTTTCAGCACAGGGCCGAAACAGTGCACCAGTGCAGGGCTCCAAATAGCTCAATTCCCTCAGAAAACGTGAGGCCCCAAAATTTAAAAAGCGAGGCCCCAAAAAGCGAAGTTCCACGCCTGACAAAAATGCATGCCAAAGCGCTAACATGCTTCAATTTCTTTAATTTTTATCTTGTTTCTACAAAATTTCGCATAGACATAGAACATGTCATTCTTAGAAATCGTATGTTTTCTGTTTTTTGAATTGCTACATTTTTGGCGGGAAAATGACGTCACAAACTTGCTGCTAAAAAATTAACAGTTAGCTATTGCTAATTTTATGCACTAATTCGGTAGCCGACATTGAGAGAGTCAAAAAACTGAACTCCATTTCTAAATACGATTATTTCTCGCGAAGATATACCGGTACAAATGTCGAAAAATCAGCCATTTTTTGCTAAAAATAGACGAAAATGGCCGATTTTTAGAAATTTGAATCATGATATCTTCGCAAGGAATGGTTGTTTTTCGAAACAGACTTCAGTTTTAAGACTCTCTCGATGTCGGCTACCGAATAGGTGCATAAAATTAACAATAGCTAACTGTTAATTTTTTAGAGGCAAGTCTGTGACGTCATTCTCCCGCCAAAATGTAGCAATTGGAAAAACAAAAAACATAAGATTTCTAAGAATGACATGTTCTATGTCTATGCGAAATTTTGTAGAAACAGGATGAAAATTAAAGAAATTGAAGCACGTTAGCGCTTTGGCATGCATTTTTGTCAGGCGTATTCCCACTTTCTGTGGAATCCTCCAGCCTGAGAAAACCCAATCTGCACAGCCTATCAAAGTCTGATTGCTAAGTCTGGGTCACAAGCATTGTGCTGTGCTTAAATTCCATCTGAGGGCTTATTATCACCCACCCAAACTTCGTTTTCTCTGCTATGAGCCGTCTTCTCCCTCGATCAATGGCTTACTGCTGGTCATACTCACCATTTCCTAGGAACAGATGTATGGGAAGTTGCGGTTTCACATTACCGTCGTCCATAGTAATGCCACACAGGTGTTTAATTGGTTGAAGTTAGGATTTTTTACAAACAACAGCTGTTTGTTGACTTTCAAGAGTTTCATGTTTATTTTGAATCTTTCATCTAAGGAACTCACTTCAGTGTCGTACATTTCTATTCACATTGTTTCTGAGGCCATGGGCACTCGCATCACTTGTCATCACATCTGTTGTCAACTTTTGTTTGTTCCCCGCTCTCTTATCACAATAGACGAGTGATCGAACAGTGTTGGCATGATGACATGCTATAGGGCAATCTGCTATGCAGTGGTGTTTCATAGTGCAGTTGAAACATAACCCCTTTCTTGTCTGAATTTTCTTATGCTTGCTTGTCTCATTTTCTCACATTGCATTGCTTTATGTCCAGTGTTCCCACAATAAACACATCCCTTTATTCTAACATCTTCCCCCATGCATTAAACAGTTTTCTACAAGTGTTCTCTCCTCATTCCTTATTATTAGAGACTGCAGGATTTTGTTTAACCCATTGTCTTCGGTTAGGGCCTCAACTAATCTAACAAAATCCCATGGTTTGGACCAAATCCCCCCTGATACCAGACAATTTGTCACATAGCACATTAACCACCATGTCTTATGGGGCACTGCAGGGGCATAAGCATACTAATATTATATTGTATTTAGTAGAAACAGTGCATTCGCAAAAAATTCTGTATATTCTGCCAAATTAAGAGACCGAAATTTGTGCATATAGATCAAACCGGATATAAATATTTATGTACCTTTGGAATGTGTTACTTTAATCATTGCATCATATTGTGCTTTTAATGTTATGTACTTGTTCCAGGTTTTTCTTCTTTCTTTTATTAAATATGCACAACCAACACAACCACCAGTTTCTGTTGAAATATCATTCTTCTATAAACAAGCACAAAAAGCATATGTATAATGTGCTAAGTCAATTTACTAAAAGTTATACAATTCTGCATATACTTAATACCTGTGGACTGACGATGGCATGGAACTAACATATTACCACAAAACATGCTTGGGATTTCAGGATTAATATTTAATATCGATAAATAACAACAACACAATCTGAAAATCTGACCCAAGCATATCTTTTCTCTTCTATCTTGACATTTAAATAACAATAAATCTTAGTATAAAGCCTCATATAGTCTTAAAAAGTTTCAAAAACATGTTCAACAATCTGCTGATCACGTTTGCATTCACGCATCATTCCGAGTACTGTCCGAGCAAATCCCGACTAATTAAACAAAGTTATAATAATCTAACATAACATTTTTCATTGTCAGTGAAACAACCTGTCTAATCTAAAATACAAACAAGTACACTTACATTGCTTGTAGGTGTAAGCAATTGGCTTTCATCCCTTATATTTTAAACTTTAAACTTTAATCAATTTCCAAATATACATCAAATTAAATTACAAATTGCATAGAATTATAATGTAATTTGAGGTGAGCTTAAAACAGAATTCAAGATTCCCTATCATAAGCCACCTGATGTCATGAGTTAATCTATTAGCCTACAATAAGAATACATATAAGAATGCATATATAATCTAAGTACAAATATATTTGAAGCCTAACTACTAATCGGCTCCACCCTACTCAGTCACTATAGAGAAGTTTACCTGACGCTAGGCATGATGGGTAATTGGGACAAAGAATTCAAAATGGCGGCAATTTAGCGATGAATATTTATGAGAACTTTTTCTGAATTATTTATACTTTGTTCAAAGGTGAGAAATTTTTTAATTTGTTAATTGTCTTTCCATCATTTATATTCTATTTGACAAGCTGTTTTTATAGACCATCTAATCAGTAATCTTTGATAGAATACCGATGTTTAATTTGTTTATGCAAGTTATAAATGTTTGGTAAGCCGATTTGTTTATCAATTGCCCCCGCTGATATCCGTAATCCGTTCATTTTTCAACATCAGGTTTTATCTGGAATAAGTATGACAACTGTAAAACACCATGAAGATTTTTTGGAGATGTCAAGAGGGGAACTTGAGTACTTCCTGAAGGTGGAATGACCCTCAAATTTATTTTTTTATATTTAAAACTAGAAATAAAGTTTAAATGGTATATTATGAAAGCCCATAGAAAAGTATTTACATTTATGTGAGTTCGACATATGCTGTTGCCATGGTTACCAAGATAACAGCTCGAAACGCCTTGCAGCGGACCATTGCGCCAAACATGATAACTCGAAAGCAATTTAAGATTTGTCTATGAAACATTGGGAAAATAATAAGCACTACTAGACCCATGCAATGAACTAAAAGATTTTAAATCAGATAAATAGTTTCTAAGTTCTGAATGAAACAATATGTGTGCCTGAAATTTAATGATCAGCATGAATTTTTGCTTATAGCACAAAAAGTATTTGACCTAATGACTTCATTCTAGTTCATTGCATAGCTTTTGATGAAGTAAACATCCTCTGAAAATTTTAGCCAAATCTGTTAAATTGTTTTTGAGATATCATATATTGTTGGCAGATTACAAACCTTGCGAAAATTGTTTATTGGAGAAAATACAGTTTAAACTTTTCATACTATGTAATTGGCTACCAAAAACACTTCATGTCCCTAAAAGTCAATAGAACTCTCCAGCACCATACTTTACTCCCTCCCCCTGTTTGTTTTTGTCACACTTTTGTTTTTTCAGTCCTCTCATCACTTTACGCCTCTTTTTAACTTCGGGCGTGGATTTGTGTTCTGCATGCGAAACTCTCAACTTGTCTTCAAGTTGACAAGCCACTTCTGTATACTTGCCAGGAGTAATATCCAGTAGATTTAAAAGTTCAATGATTGCCTCTTTTGCAAAATGTAGTCAGTGACTCAGTGTCTCAACATCAAGAACTTTCCCGGTATCCATCGACATAACCGTAACACGCCCGTTACATGATGAATGTCCCCTTCGTTGCCAGGTACCGTCACATCAAATACCACAGTTTACAGGATTTGTTCCATCAACATCTTCATTTTGTTGCAAAACACACACTTCTTTTGCAGCTGCTTTCATGCTCTTCTTAGTAACTGTCTTTGCATGCTTAGCAATGACACGAGATGACTTCTTGAAAGACTTCGTCTAGGTGGTGGTGGCATGTTCATGACAGAGCAAACCTTTGATGCACCAGCATGACCTTTGCCAATCATTCGCATTCCATACACTAATCGTCAATTTACTTTAAAACTCTTTTGTTTTTCGTTATAAAATCCAAGACAAATGCATCCATTTGCAGTTTTGGCAAGTGAGGTGGAGTTTAGAAGCACAACCTTTACGTTTGATACTATTTTCTTCCATTGTGTTGTATACATTCTGGGAAGCTGACAAATATGTTAATATGGAAAAAAACATTTCCAATAAGTTCCATATCACAAAGCCTGAATCCATAAGTGCCTTGAGAACTTTCTCGTGAAGGTTTAGGGGTTCTTTTCTCACTGGAATTCTGCCGAACACAAGGCTGAAGCTTCCTGTAGGACACTGAAATTCCAGCTGGAATGGCGCCCACGTTGCCCTCATCAGCACTCAAAGAAACCTCGCTTTCTTTGTTATTTTCTTGCATTACTGGCTCATCCTCTCCCTCATATTCAACACGAGAACGTTTAGTATGTCGATTGCCACAAAATTGGCGTATTTTACGCTTCTGTGTAGCAAAAATTTTCTCATTTTATTTTCGCAAAATAACTCTCGATCACAATGTTAGAAAGAATGTTGTTTTTTTCGTCTGCGCATTTCGTAGGGGGCCTGGGGAAAAGCTTAGATTAGAGCCCAGTCTTCCCTAAATACCCCACACTTTTTACGGAAAATTTTGTAAATAAATTTGCTTTTATAGGCAAAAAACAAAGGGTAAACAAATTTGTTTCCATAGCAACGAGTGAATATCCAGTAAAAACCCCTTAAAATAAACACATTTTAGGCATAAAATCATGGAGAAAGCGACATAGGAGTATATTTTGATAACATAGGCATCATATAAAACCAAAAAAATTTTTTTAATTTTTTCAAAACTTTGAAAAAAATTTGATGGTCATTCCACCTTCATGAGAGGTTTAGCTACCACTGGCAAGAACGTTGACCTTGCAGCCAGAGCTTTAGTGGCTTATGAAAATAGAACTCCAGTCAAAGAGACGGAGCTAGAATTCAAGGAAAGACTTTGGCAAGAGTACAAGAAGCTGTTGGATAGTCAAAATATATTCGATCCTACTACAATGAATGATTTGGAAGATGACATGACTAAATGGCCATCAGTTGACCTTGGGAAAATGTTTGCTTATGTTATTTCTAACAAAGCTTTCTCAATTGAGTATGTTGGTCAGTATAAAATCAGAAAGCCTACTCCTATTTTAAAAGTGGATTTGTTCATCAGATTCGTGTAAAGGAATTAATAGATGATAAAGTTCTTATAACAGGCACAGTAACTATTTGTTCATCAGATTCGTGTAAAGGAATTAATAGATGATAAAGTTCTTATAACAGGCACAGTAACTCCATCCCAAAGAGTGAGGGATGAACACAAATCTGTTTGGATTTTATGCGACAAGAGTGGTAAAATTTTAAGTGGTTACTGTTCCTGTACAGCTGGATTGTCGAATTGTTGTAATCACTTGATAGCCGTTCTATATAAAGTCGAGTATGCAAATACTCATGGGCTGACTAACCCTGCTTGTACTGACACTCCATGCTCTTGGAATAACAAGAGCAATGTTGATATTGAGGCAAAAAGGGTCAAGGACATCTACATTGAGTCTCCCAGCAGATCGAAGCCAAAACCACATTTCAGTATTGACAGTAAGGAAAAACAAACGTTCGACCCACATGCTGGTGCTGACCGAACTGTAACACAAGAGCAGAAGACTTCATTCTTGACAAAAGTGAAAGATTTATTGCCAAATGCAGTGCTAAATATATCATTTGCACCAGCACTTGATGAAGATGTACAAGATCCTCTGCCTGAAATAGCCGAGAGTATTTCTGGTGAAACAGATTCACTTCCAGAAGATGAATTAGTGGCAAAAATATTTTGAAAAGTTGTCCTTCAGTGATAGGCAACTTCATGAGCTTGAAAAATCCACAAGATCTCAGTCCAAATCCACAGCTTGGTATAAACAAAGAAAAGGACGCATAACTGCTTCTAAATTTCGCGAGGTCTTCACAAAATTTAACACTTTGTCAAAATCACAAAGTAAAGGTGCAAATTGTAAAATCACACCACTTTTAGTAATCCTGCTTTATCAAAAAGATATCAGCAGTCTGAGTCCTACTAAATGGGGAACAGATCATGAAGACACAGCTAAGGAGAGTTTTTTCACAGAATTTACCAAAATGCATAACAATTGTAAAATGATTTCATGTGGACTATTTGTTAGCAAATCGCATGTAGGTGCTAGTCCTGATGCACTGGTGTTGTGTAGTTGTTGTAAGAAAGCCTGTGTAGAGGTCAAATGCCCTTACTCTATCACAAATCAAAATGTTCTTGAGGCATGGAACGAAAGTAGCTTCTTGGAAAAAGCTTATGGGAAAATTCAACTGAAACAGAATCACAAATACTATACACAGATCATAGGTCAGCTAGCTATGACTGAATGTGAACAGTGTTATTTTGTTGTCTGGACTACAGTTGGCCCACCTTTTGTTGAAATCATAAAGTTTGATGAAGCACATTTGCAAGATGTCTTACGGAATTTAGTTGTTTTTTTATAAGAGTTATATGTGTAAAGTTTTACTTGGTATACGACCAATATGCTTTTGTCCTAATTGTGACAAACCTTGTCTGGAACCTAATGAGATCGATGAAGACAATGAGAACAACATTTGCTGCGACTCGTGTGGTATGTGGTATCACTGGTCTTGTGTTAATGTACAGTCTGAAGAGATAAATTTTGTTTGTTTTACCTGTTCAAATTCTGTTACATAATTATTTTATAATTATTTAATGAGGCGGTCAAGTCTGTAATGTAAACAAACGCTTGTTTAAAAAATGTGATATTCTAACTGAATTTCTAAAACTTTTTTGGTTCACCATGCTTGTAAATGAATATACATGTAAACTAGAGTTTCAATTGAAGAAAGTTCATAAGATGCAAACTATTGTTAACATTCCAATGGTTGGGTCCCGTCCATTGGAATGTATGTGCAGAACGGACTTGACTGCCTCTTTAACTGTATTATTTCAGCAAATATTAAATAATTTAATATTTTATATAGAATTTAATTAAAGAATGAAAAAAACTCAGTATTTGCATAATGGTTCTTGCAAGTTGCTTAGTGCTGCACACACTTTCACAATGTTATCAGCCAATGAAATAAGAGTCACTGGAATCTCATTGCTAAGAATTCGATAATCTTTAAGTCTTTTCATGACCTGCTCCACATAGATTCTAGCATTTGCAATTTGTGATGTGCTTTTGACTTGTTCTTTGGACATCTGTAGATCACCACATTTGGAAGGCGGGATAGCAAGTGAGCATTGGTAAAAAGCTAACATTTCTTCTATTTTAAATCCTCGATCAGCCATTATTTGATCATTAGGCTGGGTACATTGAAGAAAGCCTGAATTTTGGACAATATATTTATCAGTAGCCCTCCCTCCATAGCAGTTTGACACAAATCTTATCAGCCCATTGGGAGTTATTCCAATGAGCACTTTAATTGTCGAGTGGCGCTTGCAGTTGGACCAGAAAAGGGCTGCTGCTTCAAGACTAGATGGAGTAGCTACAAAAAATTCAGTGCACTCAATGATAATACAGCATCTTGGATAATACTTCCTAAACACTTCAGGTAGGTTTCGTCTAATAATTCTTTTCTCAGGCCATACAATTAACCATGAAAGTTCTGCTTCCATTAGCTTAATCCAAGTTGTAAATATGCGGCTTACCAATGCTTCAGAGATCCCAAAGCGAAATGCTAAATCTTGCTGGAAACTGGCAATTCTAATCCGCATCATCGTTAGTAAAAATTCTTGTTCGAACGTCATAATTCTTCTACCTGAGCATGCAACTTTGGCTGGACTATCATCATTTAAAATGGTTTCTTTCAACCCTCTCCAATAGTGCGTATTTGATGCTTTTTCCTTCAGTTGGTTAAATACCATTTCAAAAATCCTGTAAAAAACCTAACGTCTACTTCTCTGGTCAGCTGGGCAAAGGTAAAACTTTGAATTGTACATTGTGTTGCTGCTTCTTTTGGTTCTCCTCTCTTACACTTTTTTTTGAGATTTGGTTGATGGCGCAGACTGTGCAGTACCATCAGGAATTTGCTGCTTATAAACAAGTTTCCTTCTCTTCCTTGGCGACTGTTTACAACCATCACTTTTGACAAGGTAAGAGTAGGGTGAGGACTGCTAAAAGTTGGCTTTCCATACTGGAAGTGGTTGCTGCATACTGTTTTATAGTTTGATGCAATGAAGTCTTTTATTCCACAAGAAATATTTGCCACCCATTGTGAACGAACACCCTCGTCTTTAGGGAAGTGATGCCAATTCAACTCTCCCTCAACATGGCCCCTTTTAACAATATTTTCTCGATATCAGGAGTCGTTTCTGCATGTTCCTACACAACAGCGATAGGTAGGCATCCCAACATTAACATGTTTGAACCCTGATGTTGAAAAATGAACGGATTACGGATATCAGCAGGAGCAATTGGTAAACAAATCGTCTTACCAAACATTTATAACTTTCGTAAACAAATTAAACATCAGGATTCTATCAAAGATTACAGATTAGATGGTCTATAAAAACAGCTTGTCAAATAGAATATAAATGATGGAAAGACAATTAACAAATTCAAAAATTTCTCACCTTTGAACAAAGTATAAATAATTCAAAAAAAGTTCTCATAAATATTCATCGCTAAATTGCCGCCATTTTGCATTCTTTGTCCCAATTACCCATCGTGCCTAGCGTCAGGTAAACTTCTCTATTAAAAATTATTATTTACATACTAGTTAATTATTATTACAACAAAAAGGTTTCAGAAAATTTATCCTTATAAAATTGAAGTAACTTATTACGAAAAGTGACTAAGTTATTAGTTTCTCTTATCACAATCTGCAAGTCATTCCAAAGATGACAAATACGTACAAAGTATGAGTTCTTAAAAGCTTCGGTCCTGCTAAAAGGGATCACAAGAGTTAAATGGTCTACAATTCTAAGTGACTTGCAACAAGAGTGGAAAGAAATATACTCAAATATATCAACTGCATTGCATAGATATTCTTAAAGCATTTGAAGAAGAAAATTATGTCATTTATTTCTCTTCAATATTGTAAAGGAAGTAAATTTAACTTACTTAAGCGTTCATACTCAGAATAATCTCTGCCAATAATAAATCTAGTAGCTCTAGATGCACCATACGTTTCTGGTGAGACCATATTGCTGATGCTTTTGATGAATCCATTGGCTCGGCTTTTATTTACATTTATTGTGTTGCTTTGACCAGTATTGGTCGACTGTATCAAAACACATTCTTTTACAACCTATTTAAATAAACAATTTGTGATAAAAATTGCACCAAATTGAAATAAGTGAGAAAGAAATTTACCATCGAAAGTAAAACATAATAAAATAACTGATAATATATTATATGTACCAGGTGTCCCAAAAAAATTTGTGCTGTTTGATTTACTGTAGTGTAAAAACTACGGTTTTATTGTATTCAGAAAGGGCTAACTTAGATTTTGATATGTAACATTTTAATGTCCATGCAATATTGACTGTGCTATCAGTGTTTTAAATTGAATAAGCACATTTCACAATGTTAAAAATTTGCATAAAATTGCCAGAAAAATAGAGCCTCTAAAATGCCATTTCCCGCATTTTTTGGAGAAAGATTTTGTGCATGGAGCGGGTGAGGAATGAAGAGAAAATTAATGAAACAAGACCAAGTCTGATGACCATGTGAATATCATAAATGTAACTTTTAACCTAACCTAATCTCCCCTACAAGTTTATCCCATGTATTGTATTAGTATACTGTCAAAAGAAATGTGAGGCACAGTGATTTTGTTGGCCAAAAACGTTAATGATTCTGTCCATATCATTCTCGAGGGTTCTATTTGTATATGCTCATTCCATACAGATAAGAGAAATGCTACTTAGGCGTTCTTGACCCATCGTTGAACAAAGGTATGTCTTCACCCTTCGTAATCCACTGAAAGATATTTCTGCAGAACATGACATGGCTGGGATCGTTGCCATGATGGAACTTGCTTTGTAGAAGACTGGTAGGACTGTATGGAGTCCACTTTCGTATAGGGTCTTCACCAACGTTGCTGCTTTCTTGATTTGATGGAAAACAGGGTTATCAGACAGAAATATCTGAACTTCTAGGAATGCACTATCTAAACAATAGAACGAAGAGACCAAGGCGATACTTCCTTCCGACAGTTTCAGAATGAAAACCACATCTGCCAGAACACACAAAGATGTCTTGATCATTGCTTTGAAAGCATGTTTGCATCTCTAAAATAAGTTTGTCTAATGTTGGGTAGTAGGTTGTAATCTGGTAATGACTCTCAGGAGTTGGTTGTTCATGTGGAGTTGTTGTGGATGACTCACCGATTAGGGCCTGCAATCGATGCGATGGAGCTCTATTCCTTGGGGCTGTAGCATCTTCGAATAAAAATCTGGTACCCTGAATTTCTTTCTCAATGCCGTTTGCGATAACTTGCACTCTTAACCACAGCATCTGGAATCCTTCATTCAGTAGTCTCTCTCGCAGACATTCTTATAGCTCTAACCTCACTAACTAATGTCTGCTGAAACGAGCTGCACATTCCATTCCCTCCGATCGACCAATCACAGTGAACCTTCTATATTTCAGAAAGTGATTCCCGCAATAATCTAAACAATATTGGTGACATAAACGAAGCGTTCAGGCGAGTATGTAATACCTTTAAAATTGGCAAACTAAATGCTTATCAGCAAGATGCTATTATGCAGATTGTTAAGAAAAATACCGAGGTGTTTGTAAATCTACCTACTGGTTACGGAAAGTCACTAATTTATCAAACTTTGCTGTTGATATTTGATATCACTCATGGCGCTTGTGGTCATATTGTTATTTTACCACTAATAAATCTTCTGAAGGATTAACTTATAAATCTTACAAAACTATATATTCGAGCAGAAAGATGATGTCTCATTTGTTGGAGATTATGATATAACCGAACATGTGTGGGATAACTGGGATGATGTGGTTCATCATGATTCTCTTCTTGAACTTGCAATGGATAACCTGTCACTTTCACAAATTTCAACTGAATCTCAAGGGCAATTAAATACTTCCCATATTCCTGATGCTGCTTTAGACATACTTCAAAACCATTTTTGAAGTTAACACATATAGATAAATGGTAATAATTTATATTTCAATTTGTAGTATTCTTAATAATTTTTTGGAACTGTCTAGAAGTTATCCCCAATGACCCTATGCCAAAACATCAACTGGTACATACTTTAGAGGTTCATATCTTACAAATTACGTATTTAATATTCATTTTGTACTCTATAAATGCCCCAAAATTATTCCATCTTATTTTCATACTTTGAATTAACATTTAAATGATAGACCAGCAAAACAGGCAACTCAACATAGAGACAAAATAAATGTAACTACCAATGTTACCATGCCATATTACCAAGGATAACAGCTTTTTTATGTTTGTTTATCCACTTGTACATAGACGACATGCACAAGCTTTTAAAACTGTCCCTTTCAAAGTCTTTGACGTGCTCATAACATCGCTCCGGTTTATCCGAAAAAATGTCTGTTTGCTGTGCATGTTTAACAAGCTCAACAAGGTTGCTGTCAGTTGAACTAATTGTTCTTCTACCATATCCATGAACACGATTCAAACTCTTGTC